GCCCAGAGTGTAGCTCAGTGTCTAGCACATCAAGGCCCTTAGTTCGATTCCCAGCACTGCAAAAACAGTACGACACATAATAGCTCCTAACTACCCAGCTTCTGCTATTGTCAGAGTGTTCTATAACCCCTGACTCGATCCAGCTGGGTGATGGTGTTGCCCAGTCCTTCCCCAGCCTAGCTGATGTTCCCTCTACCTGCTCTATCAACTGTGGTCATCTCTCAGCGTCCTGGGGGAAATGGCTCGAAGACCTCTGGGCTATCAAAATCCACAGATGGTCAGGTCTCTTATTGGTATTAAATGTATATCTTCCTGTATACTTTAAATCTTTTCCTGATTAATTATAATACATAATATACTACAAATGCTAAGGAAATTGTTGTATTACTCTGCTTTGGGGGAATGATGAGAAAAGTCCGTACATGTTCAGTACAGACCCAGCTATTGCGTGTGCACGCGCCTTACTCGGGATTAAACCAAGGCCTTCGTGCTGAGCTACATTCCCGGCCCTTTTTTATTTCTTATGTTGAGACAGGGTCTTGCTAGACAACTAAGCTGCCCAGGCTGGGCTTGAACTTTCTGGATATTTTTTTTGTTGATGGATTTTTTTTTGTCGTTTTGAGGCAAGGTCTCTCTATGTAGTCCAGGTTGACCTTGAACTCACTGTGCAGTCCAGGCTGGCCTTAAACTCATGACAATCCTCCTGCCTCAGCCTCTTAAGTGTTGGGATCACAGGTGTGCGCCACCACACCCTAGAAATTTGACTATGATGTCTTGGGAGGTGGGTGGATTTCTTTTTAGTTTACCTTGTTTGGGTTTCAGCAAGTTTTATAGGTTTTTTTTTTATTTTAAAATTTTATAAGCTTTATAGACCTTTAAGCTCATGTCTGTCATCAAATTTAGAAGTATTAAAACATTATTTCTTCAAGTATTTGCTCTGCACCACACTCTTCTTTCTAAGACTCCAATAACATGAACATTAGACCGTTCGGTATTGTCCATAGAACCCTACGGTCTGTTTACTTTTTATTCGGGAGGTGCTTGTGATCAAACCCAGGGCCTCATGCAGTCGAAGCACATACCCTACCACTGAGCTATACCCCAGCTCCAAAACCTGCTTGAAAGTCTTTTCTGGGCAGCTGAAGTGGTGCATACCCATAATCCCAGCTATTCAGGAGGCTGAGACAGGAGGATTGTAAGTTCAAGGCCAGCCTGGAAAACTTACTGAGACCTTGTGTCAAAATAAAATACAAGAAGAGCTGGGGACATAACTCAGTGGCAGAGTACTTGTCTAGCACATGTGAGGCCCTGGGTTCAATCCCCAGTAAAACACACACACACACACACACACACACACACATTGTGATAATTCCAACATCTGTGTTGCCTTGGAGTTGGCATCTGTTGGTTATCTCTTCCCTTGTGAGTTATTGAGATTTTCCCAGTTCATCATATGCCAAGAAATTTTGAATTGCACCTTGGAGATTTGAATACCGAATTATGAGACGCCGAGGAGCCTATGGAGGGTGTTGATTTGGTTTGCGTGTTTGACTGTTTTAGTGGGTAACTGATTCAGTTAGGTTCGGGCCACAAGTTTCGACCCCATCCTTTGTGGGTCATCCTTTCCCAAGCTGCTTTAGCTTTCAAACCCCTACTAGTGCTATTCAGCTCTGGGCCACATGTGTCATCGGGGCCATTCTGGAACCCAGACAGCTGTTTGCCCTGTAGTTCACGTGTCAAAATCTTTTGTGTGTTCTTTAGAGTCCAAGCCATACATTTGAAGCTTGGGGCAAGTCTAGAACTTTACCATCCTGTCATTTTATGCGATCCCTTTCTCGAGGTCCCTTCTTTTTGCAATTGCCCCCCACTGTAGCACAAAGGCATCCCAATCCTGGCCCACGGACTAGAAACCACGGGAGTTTTAGTTGCATTATGTGGGGGAAGCAGGCTAGGATGTTCTTACTTCATCTTAACCAGAAACAGAACCTAAATGTATTTGGAATTCAGATTTACAGAACTAATACAGAGGCTTCCCGTATAACCCTCCCTCAACAACTTCAACTTCCTTTTTTTTCCTATTTTTTTTTTTTTTTCTTGTGGTATTGGGGGTTGAACCCAGGGCCTTCACACTGAGCTACATCTCCAGCCCTTGCTAAAAACTTTGAGGCAAGGTCTCTCTAAATTACCCAGGCTGAGCTTGAACTTGCGATCCTCCTGCATCAGCTTCCCAAAGTTCTAGGATTATAGGCATGTACCACTATGTCTAGCTTACTTTAGTATTTTACATAACCATACTACAATAATAAAAGCCAGGAATTTAGGGCTGGGTTTATAGCTCAGAGGCACAGTGCCTGCCTAGCAAGCCTGAGGTCTTGAGGTCAATTCCTAGTACCAAAAAACCCACCAAAAACAAGGAATTTCACCTTGGTATGATACTGATAACTAAATTGTGCATCTAATTCATTTTTCTGTATTTGTTCAGTGCGGGGGATGGAACCCAGAGCCCAGGCATGCTAAGCACATGCTCAGTCACTGCCCTGTACCTATATCAAATCTCCCCAGTTTTTCCACTACTGTTTGTGTTTCAAGCTCCCATCCAGGACTCCTCCTTGCTCTGTCACTTTTCCTCGGTCTCCTCCAATGCAGGCTAGATCGGCAGTCTCCCTTGCCTTCCTTGACACTTTGGAAGTGTACTGGTCAGGTATTTTGTGCAGGGCCTTTCAGTTTGGGTTTGTCGGGTGTTTCTCATTATTAAAATGAGGTTAAACATTTCTAGCAAAGATGTCATGGAAATGACATGCGCCTCTCACCTCATTAGCAGCCCCGAGATGTTAGTATAGTCCTATTACTGGTGATGTTAATGCCAATCACTTGGTTATAGTGGTTCCGGATGTTGATCTGTACTGTAAAATGACTAGTTTTCTCTTCTTTTTGTTTTGCTTTGTTTTGTGATACCAAGAATTGAACCTAGGGCCTTGTGTGTGCTAGATAAGTGCTCTACCACTGAGTTACATCCCTAGCCATATTTTCCCCCTCTTTAATAGTAAACATCTTCAAGTCAGGCATGGTGGTGCATGTCTGTAATCCCAGCACTCAGGAGGCTGAGGCAGGAGGATCACTGTGAGTTTGAGGCCAGACTGGGCTACACAGTGAGTTCAAGGCCAGACTGGACTACATAGGGAGCCTTGTCTCAAAAAAAAAAAAAAGTTATCAGACAGCCTGCTCACTCACTCTTTCCATGTCAGCAACTAAGGAAAGGCCCTGTGAGTGCACAGCAGAAGGATGGCCTGCAAGTCAGGAAGAGACTTCCCCAGAGCGTGAGCATCCTGATGAATGTTAGACAAGAGCTTGGCCACTGTCTTGGTTACTTTTCTCTCATTGCTGGGACAAAATACCTGATGCCCAAAATGAAGGAAGGAAAGGTTTATTTAGCTCACAGTTTGTGGAGGTTTCAGTCCATACTTGGCTGGCTCCGAGGCAGAGTGGCACATGGCAGAAGGCAAATGTTCATGGCGGGAGAACACAGCAAAAACAAGAAGAGCAAAAGGGAGGAATGGCGGCAAGCAGCCTCTTTCCCTCCCTTACATTGTAAACAGGCTACCCCCACCCAGGGGGTGTGTAGCTCTCACATAATCTCCATGCCCTCCTCTTCCACAGGCTCAAGATGTACACAGAGTTATCACCCTGGCTCCCTGCTGAGTCACTTAGCCAAACCTCTAGACTCTCCAAGTTGACACAATGTATCAACCATAACAGCCAATGAGCCATAGCCTAAGCTCCATTTAATTATTTTGGTAAGGAGAACTCTGGTAGATTACTCTTTAGAAATTAACACTATAAACAAAAAATGAAAAACAGAAAGAGAAAATTAAAAACCAAGAAACAAACCAAATCAATATGTATCTACCAAAACTGATCACACATGCTCCTAGGCCTTCTGTACCCTTAGGTATGTGTATGCCTCTGTACACATGCTTGTGTATATATCCAAGAAAAATGCAAATACAGATGCTCTATTTACATCCTGATAAGCCCGTCATAAACTGAAAATGCATTTAATCCACATAAACTACCACCCATCCTAGTTTAGCAACACAGCCACTATAGAGTGTGCATTGTTTTCCTGTGTGATCAAAGGGGTGACTGGGAGCTGCTGCTGTTGCTGCTGTTGCTGCCCAGAACCTCAAAGGGGCTGGAAGGAATATGACTGGCCTGAGAGAAGACCTGGATTCAAAATTTTTTTTTTGTCTTTTTGAGACAGGGTCTTGCTATGTAGTTCAGGCTGGCCTTGACCTCACTTTGTAGCCCAGGCCGGTCTCGAACTCACAAGGATCCTCCTGCCTCAGCCTCCTGGGTGCTGGGATTACAGGTGTGTGCTATCATACCTGGCTTTTTGAATTCAAAACTTGAAGTGCAGTTTCTACTACTGAATATATATGGCTCTCACACTATGGTAAAGTAAAAAAAAAATCATAAACCATCATAGCTGGGCATGTTGGTACGTGCCTGTAGTCCTAGCACACTGGGAAGCTGAGGCAGGAGGACTGCAAGTTTGAGCCAAGCCCAGGCAACTTAGTGACATAGTAAAACCCTGTCTCAAAATTAAAAAATCATAAGGGTTAGGGATGTAGCTCAGTGCAAAAGTTTCCTTTCTTTCTTTCCTTCTTTCTTTCTTTCTTTCTTTCTTTCTTTCTTTCTTTCTTTCTTTTTTTTCTTTTTTGAAGTAGGGTCTCACTATGTAGTGCAGGCTGGCCTTGAACTCATGATGAACCTCCTGCCTCAGCCTCCCAAGTGCTGGGATTACAGGTGTGTGCTCAGTGGATTTGGGCTTAGCTCCCAGTACTGCAAACAAACAACCAAACAATAACCAACCAACCAAACAAACATTATAAGTCAGGAACTGTCTGCATATGTTTGACTTATGACAAAAACATTCATAGCATCATTCTTCTAATAGCCCCAACCCAGAAACTACACAAATGTCTGCCACTAACAGGGAATGCAGAAATCAAAGGTGTATTCATACAGTGGAATATTACATAGCAGTGAAAACGAACACACTGAGAATACAACATAGAAGAGCCTCATACACATAATGTAGAGGGACAAGTCAAACAAACATAAGAGTCCATACTATATGATCTACGATTCCATCTGTATGTAGTACAGAAACAGGGAAAACAAAGCCATTATAGTGGAAGTCAGGATAATAATTATAGTTCATTAAAAACTTTAAAAAGTCCTTAACAGCTGGACACAGTGACACTTGCCTGTAAAGTCCCAGCTACTGGGGAGACTGAGGCAGGAAGATCACAAGTTCAAAGCCAATCTGGATAATTTAGTGAAACTCCATCTCAAAATTAAAAAAGAAAAAGGCTAGGAATATAGCTTGTGGTAAAGTGCTTATGTAGCATGGGTAAGGTCTTGGCTAAATTCCTAGTACTAGGGGAAAAAATCCTTAACAACAAAAGATTTACAAGGTGCAAAGTGCCTTTGGATATCTACTACTTCATTTTTTTTCTTTTTCCTGCCAGCAGTACTTTATTGGGGTATTCAAAGTGCATATATCTTAAAGGGACTAGCTCAATTAATTTTATCACATATATATGCCTGGGTAGTCCACACCTAGATCCAGCTACAGAGTATCCCAGCACTCCTGGGGGCTCCCACATGTTAAATCCTAGTATCTTCACTGCAGCCTTAGGACAGTGGAGCCATTATCTGCTCGTATCACCTCTGAGGAACATCATCTTGGTAGGCTGAGACCTACCCCAGCGCCAGTGTCCCTTGGGGTCAGGGGAGCTTGCAGCAGGGGCTCAAGTGCTGACTTCCTGAACATGAGGCTGGGTTCCCCCTTTCCACAGAGCCAGGTGTGTCGGGGTGGCTGGGGAGGGATGTAGGGCACACTAGCTAGTTGGTTTTTTTTAAAGCTCCAGTTATTTTTCAGAGCCCTCTCCTGACCATCAGCATTCTGTAACGTGCCCTGGAATCTGAGGGTTGTCAGCGGAAGGTGAGGGATGTTAGTGCTGGCCAGAAACTGCCCCTGGGCAGGGAACGGCCACCAACCAGTCCAACTGGGCTGCTGGGGCTCCTGGGAGAAGCAGGCGCTGCGGTCATGGTGGCGGGCTCAAGGCAAGGTCAGTGTGGACGTGCTTGGGGTCAATTCTGCCGCCCTCATGGTGGCCTGGGCCCAGGTGAGGTTGAGGACAGACCCTGAACAAGCCCAGAGCAAAGACGCGCACCTTGAGCTTTGCTGTGGAGTTATCCCTCCGGGTCAAAGGCCTTTCTCCTGTGTGGCCTCCTTGCTTCTGGAGTGACCCAGTGAGCCCACCGGGACAAGCACACCCTTGCTCAGGGTCCTTCGGAACTCCGGGAAGTTTCTGGGTCCTCCTAGGAAGTTCTCAGCCTCTGTACCCTGGGAACGAGCCCCACCCCCACCCCCTGGGACTGCAGCTCCGTTCCCAAAACAAGCCCCAAGAGCGGCCTGGTTTTCCCTGGGGGCAGAGTCCCCTCTAGTCAGTCGCCTTCTTCCTGGTTTCTGAGGAGCTGGGTGACTCATCCCAGTTCTGGAAAGGAAAGGGCAGAGGTTCAGATCAGCTTATTTATTTATGATTGAGATCTGGCTGAGGAGACGTGAGAAACATAGAAAGGCTGTAGCAAGGGTTTGGGCAGAGCTTATGAGGAAGCCATAAATTTTTCTACTTAAAAAAAAAACAACACCCCTCAAACCTTAATTCCAAAGCCACAAGCTAGCAAACACCATCTGCCCATCTCCCGGCTGGGAGTACAATTCCAGGAAGCCGGCGAGGGGGCGGGCGGCAGCGGGGAAGTGTGGCGCTGGCCTATGCAACAGCTGTGGACCCTCAGGACTTTCCACGGAGACCCATTTTGGGGCTTTGCTCTTCCATACGTGGCAGAAAGGAAACAAAACCCACATTCCTGCGGATGGCAGTCACCCCTCACGCCCCTGCTTTGCTTTTTGGCTGATGTCAGGGCAGACATATTCAGTGGTCCTAGCCCAACCCTCCCTGGGCCTCAGGGACAAGCCCAGCAGGTCTGAACACTGAGCTGCCCCAAAGCGGGGCCGGGGTGAACAAATAAGCTTTGTGTATTCATACAGGTTGAGGACAAAGGGAGTTTAAAAGACCAAGGTTTCACTCTATTAAAACAATTTTTAAAAATTTTGTTTTGTTTTGTTTTTTTGGGGCAGGGTCTTGCCATGTAGTTCAGGCTGGCCTTGAACTATGTGGCCCAGGCTGGCCTCAAATTCTCAGGGATCCTCCTGCCTCGGCCTCCTGAGTGCTGGGATTACAGCCATGTGCCACCACACCCAGCAAAATAATTAAAAAAGAAAAACACCCAAAACAGGGCTGGGGGTGTATAACTCAGGGGTAGAGCACTTACCTAGCATGTGTGAAAGCCCTGGGTTCCATCCTCAGTGCTCACAAGCATGTGCAGTGCGTGAGCACACACACACAAAGTAAAAAAGGAAGAAAGACCCAATAAAACTAAACACAAAGGCCAGTAAAAGGACTCTTATTGTTCCCTAGCACCGAGTTTCTGAGCAACAACTGTCAGCCTCAGCTCACAAAATAGCTTAGTGTCCATTTGCTGCTGAAACCCCGAATTCTAACCTTTGATTTCAGCACATGTCCTTTAGACGTTGTAAAAGTGGTGGTGGTTGGCAGGGGGAACTACTTCTAGACAGGAAGTTATTTAGGAAAAAAACAAAGATGTGGGTATGCAGGGAGGAGCCACACCTCAGTCTGAGAGGTTCCCTCCAGAGATGAGGAACCCAGACCCAAGTGTGAAGCAGTCTGCTGGGTGAAATGGAAACTTCCTGTTTATTTTAGCTCCTCACAGCCCTGGAGGTTGGGAGGGAGCAGAGATTGAAGCAGTTAGGCCACTGCGCTGGAAGGAATCAAAACTGCTAGGTCAGTCCGCCAGATTGTGGCACTGCCATCCTATCGGCCACACCCTCCCGTGCAGGCCTGGGGACAAGACAGAGCTAATGCCCTGGTAATTCATAGGAGTTGCCCAGCACTGGCATCAAATGCTGTCAACGAGCTCATTTAGCTCACAGCATCCTCCTGGGGCGGAGATGGGGACAGGTAGGATCCTCAGCCTTTTTGACTCACCAGAGCTGTACTGCGACAGCCACATGATGCAATCACACTTGAGCAGCAACTCAAAGACTGAGTCAAGCCCGGGCTTGGTCTTGGGCCCTCCCCCTCCCCCAGCTACTTCCTCCTAAATATCTCTAATCGCTCAGTGTCTTGCGCCTTTCCACTTAAGCACCGGGACTGGCCCGGTTAATCTCTTGGTAGCGCGCACGCCCATAAGCACAGCGTTTCCACCACCCCCACCCTGGGGCTCTCAGAGGAAGATGATCCAATCCAGAGCCACTCAGCATGGCAAGCAGGCTAAGGTAATTGTTAGGACGACAGATAAGTAGGGCTTCTAGCTCAGCACAGGAACGCCCAAACTTGGCCACATCCGCGGTGCCAGGTAGGAACGCAGCCCCGAAGATGCAGAGAAACAGGACCTCCCTTCCTGGCTGGAGAGGTTGTTCAGGGTTGCAGCTGCTTTGGAAAACAGTGTGACAACGGCTCCCCACCAGGTCAAACACGGCTACCTATGGCCCTGAAGTCCATCCGAGGCACCCACCCAAGAGAAAGGAGAACGTGGGTCTACCCCAAAACTCCTGTGCTTGTTCTCACCAGCGCTGCTCCTAACAGAAAGTGGAAATAACCCAAATGTCCACCAACTGACTAACAGCGCAGTGAGATGTGGTGTGTCCAGATAGTAGAATAGTTTTTTTTTTTTTTTTTTTTAAAGATAAAAGGAGGGAAACATTAACAGACATACAACATTTTACAACATATCACAA